AAGGAAGAAAATTGTGGTTGTTAGAGGTCAGTCTTCTTAGCTCCAGAACATCTCTGCACGAATTCCTCAGGGCAGTGTCCTAGGCTCAACCACCATCAACTGCATCATCAATGACCTTCAATGCATCATAAGGTCAGACGTGGAGATTTTCACAGTGATTGCACAATATTCAATATAATTAGTGACTCCTCACATACTGGAGCAGTCCATCTCCAAATGTAGCAATACCTGGATAATATCCAGGTTTGGGCTGACAAGTGACAAGTATTATTCATGCCACATATATGCCAGGCAATGATCACATGCAACAAGAGAGAACCTAGCCACCATGCCTTGACATCCAATAGCATTACCATTGCTGACTATCCTACTATTAGTATCTTGGGAGTTATCTGGACTAATCGTACATGTACTGTGGCTACAACAGCAGATCAAATGGTAGGAACCCTGCAGTGAGAAACTCACCTCCTGACCACCACCCCCCCCCCCAACCACCAACACCACCACCACCACTTGTCTATTATCTTCAAAGCACAAGTCAGGAATGCACCCCACTTGTGTGGAGTGTGGCTCCAAGAACAACCAAGAAGCTTGACACCATTCAGGACAATGTAGCCTGCTTGACTGGCATCACATTGACTCCCTCCACCACGACTGCTCAGTAGTAGCAGTGTATATGATGCACTGTAGAAATTCATCAAGGCTCCTCAGACAGCATCTTCCAAGCTCATGATCACCAGCATTAAGAAAGACAAAGTCAACAGGTACATAAGAAAACCACCAACTGCAAGCTCCTCTCCAAGCCACCCTTCATCCTGACTTGGAATGATATTGTCATTCCTTCAGTGTCACTGGGTCAAAATCCTGAATCTCCCCCTGACAGCATTGTGGGTGTCCCTACACCCAAAGATTGCAGTATTCAAGCTCACTATCACCTTCTAGAGTGCAACTAATGATTGACAATAAATACTAGCCCCTGGAGTGATGCCCCACCAGGGAAGCTCACATCCCATAAATGCAAAGGAAAATAGATATTTAGTTTGCACACTTGCATCTTTTCGTACTACTCCATCCTAAGTAATTTAGACAGGCAATATGATTTGACTTGGTTCTTTAATTCTTCCTCATTCAAACAACCTGAATAGTTCAATTAGCTGGAATGTCAAATTGTCTTGTGAAATGGCTCAAGCTGAACAGGTTACTCCAAAACTAAATACAGTTGAGGAAAGTCACTTTTCCCATCTGGTTTGACATTACAAGCAGCCTCTTTTTTTTCTCTATCACAGCACTGACTGCTATGCAATGCTTCAAATCCCACTTAGCATTACCTGAATTTTGGCTGCACTTTTTCCTAAAAAGTTATTTTTGGTCACCTAATTCACACAGCCAGGAGATGCTTCATCATTGGTACCCTGACAAATTTATGGCCATCATAGAATATCTGGTGGCATTTGTCATGATAGAAGATCTGACAATCAAATGGGAGGACAAAATGCCAGTCACTGAAGTAATTGCTCAAGCTGGCATGCCAAGTATCCATATTGCACTGAGACAGTAACAACTGAGCTGGGTTGGCCAAGTTACCAAACTGGCTGACCCTCACTCACCACAGCTTGAGTTTGGGGTATCAAGACAGATAGAGGAAGTTCTGTAAGGATAGTCTGAAGGCTTCATTTAGGAGTTTTGATCTAAATGTCAAGTCCTAGGAGAGGTTTTGAATAGATTTTCTGTAACTTGTGCAATCGAACAAAAATGGGGCAGCCTCTGTTTAAAGCAAGGATATATCAGAGGCAATGAGGAAGTCAAGATGAGGATCTTCTGAGCCAACAACACACCAAAACTAATTTGTCTGAAAAAATACTAAGTTTCTGCGCAATCATACTCTATTTGGAGCAGAACCTTTTTCAGCTGCAGATCAATTTTTACAGTCACTTACCTACTCACCAAGCCTTACCTTACCAAACATCCAGATGACTTCAAAGGATGAAGGAAGTTTCCAACCATTGTTTTCAATGATTTTATAGATTTTTATAGCTGGAAGCATCTGACTTTAGCGTAGTTTCAAAGATGTTGGGACTTCATCTCCACCTTTCTAATACTAGTTTTTAAATGGGTACTTGCGTTCCTTAAATTTATCAAAAAAGGGGGCAGCATGGTAGCTCAGTGGTTAGCACTGCTGCCTGAAAGTGTCAGGGACCTGAATTCAATTCCAGCCTCAGGCCACTATCTGTGTGGAGCTTGCACTTCCCATGCAGACGGTGGCTGGGGGGGGGGCGGGTGAGGGAGGAGGAGGCTGCTCCGGTTTCCTCCCACAGTCTAAAGATGTGCAGGTTAGGTGGATTGGCCATGCTAAATTACCCATAGAGTACAGGGATGTGCAGGTTAGGTGGATTGGCCATGCTAAATTACCCATAGAGTACAGGGATGTGCAGGTTAGGTGGGAAATGCAGGGTTACGGGGATAGGGTAGGGGGCTGGGTCTGGGTGAGGTGCTCTTCAGAGGGTTGGTGTGGACTTGATGGGAAGAATGGCCCCATTCCACATGGTAGGGTTTCTGCAACAAACCGGAGTGTCAGCCCACGGGTCTATCTAAAATAGGGCATTTGCTTTGCTGTTCACTTACTCCAGAAGTTCCATTTCCACAAACCTACCAACAAGATCACACCAGGTACCACGTCCCATTCTTCAGATGGGAAATGCTTTCTCACATCATTCACGAAGCCTTAACAAAAATAGAAAACGAAGAAACTCAGAGATAGTAGGAACTGCAGATGCTGGAGAATCTGAGATAACGAGGTGTACAGCTGGATGAACACAGCAGGCCAAGCAGCATCAGAGGAGCAGGATTTCCGCAACTCATCCCTCACACCCCCTCCCTGCAATAACAACAAAAACAGAATTCCCCTCGTCCCCACGTACCACCCTCCGGATCCAACGCATCATCCTCCGACACTTCCGCCATCTGCAAACCGACCCCACCACCAAAGACATTTTTCCCTCCCCACCCTAATCTGCTTTCCGGAGGGCCCACTCTCTCCATGACTCCCTTGTCCGCTCCACACTCCCCTCCAGCCCCACCTCACCCGGCACTTTTCCCTGCAACCGCAGGAAGTGCTACACCTGCCCCTACACCTCCCCCCTCACCCCCATTCCACGCCCCAAGAAGACTAATGTGGTATACTGCATCCGCTGTTCCCGTTATGGCCTCCTCTACATCAGGGAAACCGAGCGGAGGCTTGGGGACCGCTTTGCAGAACACCTACGCTGGGTTCGCACTAAACAACTGCACCTCCCAGTCGCGAACCATTTCAACTCCCCCTCCCATTTCGCAGACGACATGTCCATCCTGGGCCTCCTGCAGTGCCACAACGATGCTACCCGAAGGTTGCAGGAACAGCAACTCATATTCTGCTTGGGAACCCTGCAGCCCAATGGTATCAATGTGGACTTCACAAGCTTCAAAATCTCCCCTCCCCCTACCCCATCCCAAAACCAGCCCAGCTTGTCCCCGCCTCCCTAACCTGTCCTTTCTCCCACCTATCCCCTCCTCCCACCTCAAGCCGCACCCCCACCTCCTACCTACTAACCTCATCCCGCCCCCTTGACCTGTCCGTCTTCCCTGGACTGACCTATCTCCTCCCTACCTTCCCACCTACACTCACCTTTACTGGCTCCATCCCTGCTTCTTTGACCTGTCTATCTCCTCTCCACCTATCTTCTCCTCTATCCATCTTCTATCCACCTCCCCCTCTCTCCCTATTTATTTCAGAACCCCCTTCCCCTCCCCCATTTCTGAAGAAAGGTCTAGGCCGGAAACGTCAGCCTTCCTGCTCCTATGATGCTGCTTGGCCTGCTGTGTTCATCCAGTTCTACACCTTGTTATCTCTAACTCAGCAGGTCTGGCAGCATCAGTGCAGAGAAAGCAGAGTTAATGTTTCCGGTCCAATAATCCTCAGAACTGATTCGTGAGTCCTTCGCCAGTTTATATCATGTTCCTAGTTTTTTTTCCGGGTTTTAATAATATCATTCGCGTAGGATCTTCTATGTTTATCACGAATTTTCTCATTTGCCTCCCTGCCAAGGTTTAAGTCTTTAAAATTTTGTTTACAAATTATTTGACATTCGTGTCAATCTTAGTCACGTTATAATACCAGAGGGGGAAGTAAAGCAATTTGTATTTGCGTCGAAGTTGAACAGTTTATTACACTTGAATCTCTTTGATTTTGTCAATCTTTTGTCATTTTTTAGCGAATAAATTCAGAACTTTGTCGAGATTTTATACAAGTCTGTCCCTGAGTTTGGTCTTCGATTCATCTGTAAAGATCGCCCTCTACAGTAAATGAACATAGTCTCACAAATACCAAATATCATGTTTCCGAGTTTTTCCCTATGTTTTATGTATGTCCCAAAAAAAGAAAAGAAACTCCACTTTATATTAATGCACGATTTCTCTTTGACAGAAAGGAATCGTCTTGTTCCAGAACATAGCAACAGATCTTCAGGCAAAGTGATCTCTCAAAGTAAGGGACTATCTCCAACATTTCACATTTTAGAGTGACGTATCGAAAGGTATTTCCTGTCTCTAGAGTCATTTTAACTTGTAAAAAAGATCAGAATGCCAACTGCTGAAACTTTGTATGACAATGAGCTGGTTAAATAATTCAGTCCAGTCCTTACACTGACTGGCAGCTTTCTAATTCAGCACATGCTTAGCCGGGCAAACGTTTGTCCTGATACAGCGGCGCCTTTTTGATTTGATATGCCTTGAATCTTACAAAAGTAGAAAACAATTTATTTCGAAAATCCTGAATGTTGGGGTATGATTGTGTTGTCATTTGAGCCGAGTCGCTTTTGGCACCCTGCACTGTGCGATTTCACTTGAGTTTTGCACGAGTTTTTTTTTTGCCGACGGTCCCTCCACTTGGTTTCCTGAGCATGTGCCTGTTGTCTCATTGGTAAAAAGAAAAGCGGAATTTGGCTGGACGGTAGCGGTGGCTGCAGATTTTGGCAATTCGCAGCTCTTCACTCCCATCCTTTCTCCGGGATTGTGTTATGGTGTTTGTTTTTTTGGCTTTCTTCCGGTAGCTGGAGATCAGTTCGGCTAAGTTTAAGAACAAATGTGCAATAACTCATCAGTTCCACGTTGAAAAGTGACTTGTAACGGCGTGCAGTTGAGACTTCTCAAAACAGCAGCACCAACACTGAGCCCTGCTCCCGAATGGTTTGTGGCGCTTTTTTGAACAGAACTGATTAGGAAAGCCAGCCCAATCGACCAAGTATTTTCCATACAGATGAAAACATATCGCAAAATGAGAGTGGATCGGAACCAAGCTGATTCACAAGTGTTTTAAAGAAACCGCCAGCTGTGCAGCGGTCGAAATCTACATTCTCGACTGTTTTTGTTTAAACCAGCCCCTTGTTTACTTCTCGGAGCGCAGGAACATGGATGAAGAAAGTCACCCCGAAAATGGAGTGGAGAGTGGAAAGGACACAGATCGGCAGCTCCGTTTGCGAGTTTGTGTGATGAATGAGATTTTAAAAACGGAGAGAGACTACGTGGGGTCCTTGAAATTTCTAAAGTCTGTAAGTGTTTCCTTTCAGAGTCCGTTGTTTTGTACGGTTCTCGATTGTAAAATCAATCAATCAGAATTAATATGATACCATCGTGTGTACCAACCATAATGTTAGCGTCAGTTTAATTTCAGGTGGTTAAATTAGGCGATTTCCTTTCGACTACTCCTACGTTGTTTCTCCGACGTTGTTGCTATCAGTGTTATTTGAAACTTGGTGACACGAAAAGTCATAGAGGTTTACAGCATGGTAACAGGCCCTTCGGCCCAGCTTGTCCATGCCCAACTTAAAGAGCTTTTACTGGAGGCTGATGTGCTTTCTGACTCCTGGGGCCAGCAGAGCTTTCTTTTGTTAAAAGGGCTTCGAAATTATAATTTGGGGAAGTATGACTTCAGTCTGGTTAATTTTAAAGAACTAGAGTTGTACCAGCTCAGCCAATGAGCTCAAATAGAATGAGGAATCGATCAATTTTGTTGCTGAAAGTTACGTGGGACCAACATGAATAATTAATGTGGAATCAGTGTTTCAGCTACAGAAGACTCAAGAATAGAGGCAAACCATGGCACGTTAAAGTTTCAAATATTGTGAGAAATACATTTTTACGAAACCAAAATAACATTTGTAATTTTCTACCTTTCAATTAAACCATTTTACCGACTCGATCTTTGTGGATAGAGATTCTGAAATGGCCTGGTATCCTCATTTCTGATGTAATTAAGCTACTTCTTGTTCTGTGGTTTCCTGTTGAGACAGGGCAACGTCTATTAGCAGGTTCGTTTGCTGCCGATAAGGCGTGCTGCGAACTGAAAGGTGTGCCATATGGTTTGTGTAAAATCAAACGCACGGTCTCCAGACACAATGAGGCGAGGGGGGAAGGCGCTGGAAATCCGTCTGTGTCCTTCCTGATTGAACATCTGAGCATTTATCGCAGCCCCTCCAGCAGTCTTTTGGGACAGAAATCAACCTGACTTAATTTACATTATCTTCGGCTACATAACCCCAACCGATTTCAGATCTCCAATTCTCGGGGTACCATTTCACTTCCAATCTGATGTGTAATGGATGTAAGGAGCGTGTTCTCCCTTCTCTCTTGTGTTCTCGTTTTCTCGCCATCAGTTGGCTGAGTGAATGTGGATTTCATAGCTTTTGGTCTGATTACTGTTGGTTGTCAAATACTGTGACACGTCAATTCCTCAAAGCGAAACTGGATTTTGTTTTGGGAATGCGCTTTGGAATGCTGTCCGTTTCTCATTTTATCCTTTTTTAAGAAACTGTTTAAAACCCATCTCCCAGAACATCATCTCTTCAGTTATCCCGCATTTTAATGCTACTGTCCCCATGGCGCTCCCCTTTAAAGGAGAACACCTCTTGACCCACCATTCTTGCAGACTGCCATCTTATCTCCAATCTGCTGTTCCTTGCCGAAGACTCTGAACATGTTACTTCCCAAACCTGTCCTTACCTTTTTCTGGAATTCCGTGTTTGAATTCCTCCAATCAAATTTTTGCTCTTGTCACAGTTTGGTCATAGGATGACTTTTTCACATGTTTCTCTTGGCTTGTCCACAGACTGTGACATATTTGCCCTCTCTAACTATACTTCTCTAAAAATCTCTACACTGTGATTATCTAGGTGGGGCAACACTTAGAGGTTTCTGTTTATAGTTCCCCAGTTTTAAACACAGAATCACTTGAAATAGCTTCAATTCCTGCAATCTCACCGTTACTTCTGGTGTTGCCCCAGGATCTATCCTTAGCTTCATTCTATTTCTCATTTAAATGCTGTCCCTTGGTGACTCCATCTGAAAACACAGTTATTTTTCTCACCAACACAAGCTCTACCTCACCACCAACTCTCTTGATTCCTTCACTGATGGTAAATTATAAAACTGATATCCAGTACTGAATAAGCAATATTGTTTTCCATTTTCCAAATTAAACATGAACTCCAGATTTAAATTCCATTCCCCAGCTGTCAACTACCTTCCTCTCCCTGGCAACAGTGTATGATTATGATTGCAATATTGATGTTACATTTGATCCTGAGATGAGCTTCTGACCTCATTCACACCATCACTAAAACCTCCTTTTTTTGCATCTATGACACTGCTCCTCAAACCCTCATTCATGCTTTGATATCTCTGGACTCAACTCTTCTTAGTACACCTGGCTGGTCTCACACATTCTACACTCTGTAAACTTGACATCCAAAATTCTGCTGCCCTTGTCTTAATTCACAGCATGTCTCACTTAGCCCAATGCTAGCTAACTTACTTGGTTCCAAACAAAATCTTACTTTAATATTCTCATTCTAGTTTTCAGATCCTTTCATGTCCTTGCTCCTTCCTATCCGTGTGATTTTCTTCAACCCCAGAATCCTCTGAGATATCTCTGCTCCCTTAATTCTGGTTGCTTGTGCATTTCCAATTATAATTGCTGCAAAATTTGGTGCCTGTACATTTCACTTGCTTAGGACCCAGGGTCAGGATGTTACACTTTTCTGCCTCTACTTCATTTTCATGCTTTTAAGATAATTCATAGAACATACATTTTGGTGTCATATTTTGTTTAAAAATGTTCCTATGGGGCACCTTTGTATGGGGTAGGTAGATGTTTAGTACTATTTACTCCAATTCTGAGATCTTTTAAAAACTTGCCCCAAATCTTGCTCCAAATACTCCTGGACAATATCTGGGCTTGGGCTAAAAGTCACAAGTAACATTTGGACCACACAAGTGTCTGGCAATTACCGTCTTCAACAAAGAGAATATAACCATCACCCCTTGACATTCTGGACTATTACCATTGCTAAAACTGAACCAGACTAGCCATGTGAATAAAAACCAAAAGAATTGCGGATGCTGTAAATCAGGAACAAAAACAAAGTTGCTGGAAAAGCTCAGCTGGTCTGGCGGCATCAGTGAAGGAGAAAACAGAGTTTAACGTTTCAGGACCGGTGAGGTTCTGAGGAAGGGTCACTGGACC